ACGGTGAGGTGGGAGGCACAGGTGGAGAAGGCCCTCCAACGGCCCGTGGCCGAGGGGATGCGCAGGACGGCCAGCGAGATGTGCCCGTAGGAGAGGACGGTGGCCAGGAGTGGGAACACCAGGATGAGGAAGGCCAGGACAAAGTCCACCAGCTCTGCCGTGGAGAAGTCTGTGCAGGCCAGCTTGAGGATGGGCGAGATGTCACAGAAGAAGTGGTTCAGGACGTTGGAGCCACAGAAGGTGGCGCTGGAGATGAAGTAGACCTTGATCACAGAGATGGTGAAGCCACTGGCAAAGGAGAAGGCCACCAGCTGGACACACAGCCCCGTGGTCATGATGACTTGGTAGCGCAGTGGGTGGCAGATGGCCACGTAGCGGTCGTAGGCCATGGAGGCCAGGAGCACGCACTCGGTGCACACCAGGGAGCTRAAGAAGTAGAGCTGAGTCATGCACCCCACGAAGGAGATGCGCTTCCGCTGCAGGAGGAAGCCGTCCAGCATCTTGGGGATGATGTCGCACACGTACCAGATCTCCAAGGTTGACATGATGCCCAGAAAGTAGTACATGGGCCTGTGGAGGGAGGCGCTGCTCCAGACGGTGAGGATGATGGCCAGGTTCTCCACCAGGACAAAGAGGTAGGTGAGCAGGAAGAGGAGGAAGAGCACGTACTGCAGCCTGGGGCCCGTGGGGAAGCCCAGCAGGATGAAGGTGCTGACCTTGGTGGCGTTCTCACCCCTCATCCTCTCCACCTGCAAAAGAGCCAGAGGAAGCATGGCAGGTGGAAGGGCAGCAGAAGTGGACAGAACCAGGCCTGGGAGGGGACCCTGGCCTTGCAGGAGAAAAACAATCTCCAAGGTAAGCATCGAAGACTAGATGCCTTAGGTCCCAGGTCACTGTAAGACGGGGCCCTGGAAAGTCCTGCCCACTCCTGCCCAACAAGTGCCACACCCAAGGCCTCTGTGGCCATAAGGACATCCACAGCTCCTTGCACGGTCACTGATCCAGGCAGGGGTCGTGACTGCCAGGCCCTCTGGGCTCACCGCCAGGTGTCTCCTCGATCTGCCGGGTGGCAGAGCTGGCTTCCAGCTCTGGTCAGACACCAGTTGGCTGGTGTCTGACCTTTTGCCTGGTTCAGAGTTGATTTTATCAGGGATGTGAGGCCAATAGGGCCTCTGGAAAGGTGGGGGACAGGTGCTAAGCAGCTGGACCCCACCCCCAGCTCTCCCTGGGTGCAGTACCAGGAAAACAGGAAGGTGGCCAAGTCCCTGGCTCTGTGCATCAGAGGGGACATCACAAAGTAGGGGGCACAGCCAAGTTCTGGAAGAGAGAAAGCTGACACAGAGGGGTGTCCAGGGCAGGAGAGTGGAGGAGGCCCAGGACTTTTTCCAGAGGCCACAGCTGAGGCGGCACCCTGCTCCCTGCAAAGGCTTCGTGGGAGGGTGTGGGTGAGAGGCGGGCTGGGAGCCGGGTGGCAGAGCTGGCTTCCAGAGCAGGGAGGAGGCGTCCGGGCAGAGCTTCGAGCCCAGCTCTCTGGGTGAGGGGCCCAGCTGTTACCACCTGGGCGTTTGGACCCCTGGCTCCTCCTCCCAGCCTGCTGCAGCCCTGGGGGACCAGGCTCCCTTCAGAGGGGGAGTGTGAGGCTCCACGGGAAGGTGGCTGTCGCAGGACACAAACCTGGGCCTTCTAATGCCAAGGCTGCCACTCTCCTGATGAAATACCAACCACAGAAGGACTGAGCCCATTGGGTGCTGGCTGGAGGCTGGGTTGTGAGACAGGTAGATACCGTGGCCGGGAACCCCACGCTCTAGCCGGCTCTAAGAACAGACGGTCACAACTTCAGTAGGCAGAGAATTCGTTCTGAAAGACGGATTTAACCCACCTGAATGTTTGAATTGACAAGCCACCTGGCCGAGGAGGCTTTGTGACAGCCGAGCTCTGGAATGCCATGCAGACGTGGAGCCTGAGAGCTGGGCTGGCCAGCTCCGACACAGTGCCGACACACCTGGGAAGTGTGGAGGAGGCCCCTGGGCTCAGGGCTCCCGGCTCAGTGCACTTGCCCCTGCTGCTTTGGGCCTGTGGCGGCCCAGCACCCCGAGTACAGAGGACACTGCCATGCACAGTGTGCCAGAGGACACCACTCCCGTCACGGAGGCCGGAAAACAGAGAGGAAGGGGCTGGGGTCTCCATAGCCCTGTGAGACATGGGCCCAAGCTCCTAAAGGTCCACCACCAGCTGGCCACCAAGTCTTCAGCCTAGGGCCCTGGGGACCCTCCAGATGCAGACCACACAAGGCCCATCCTCAGACTCAGACTGTTCCCAAGAGTGGCCATGAAGGCTCCAGATGTCCCCCCAGCACAGGGTGGGGGAGGACACACAGCCAGCAGAGCAGCCTGAGTGGCCACCCAGGAGGGACAGAGCCGTGCTGGACACAGGGCCAGGGAGGTGCCTCACAGTGAACCTGTTCTCCTTTCTGAAYCTCGTTCTTGTGAATGAATTATTTATTCAAAAGGTTGACTCATTACTTATTTTCAAATTCCCAAATCCTTTAAAAAGAAAAGGCACGGGCTGGACCAAGAATTCAACAAGCAACACCGTTCTCAACCAAGGCTCCCGGGCYGCACTGACCAACACCTGGACTCAGTGGCTGGGAGGGGGGTGGGGCCCCGTGTGGGGGCCGGGAGGAGGGTGAGGGCCCTCTGTGGGGGCTGGGAGGAAAACAGAAGACAACRGAGGGACTTGTGCAGAGGGACAGGGTCACCAGGCCTGAGTGTCCTGTCTCCCTGGCGCTCTCCTGTGTGAGGGCCACAGGGAGGGCTCAAGRCCACCCACTGTGAAGGAGGGCCTGTGAGCCCACCCTCAACAGGGAGCTCAAGCAATGCACCGGAACCGAGATTCAGGGCGGTCCCCAGCCCAGGACGGCAGCAGAAGGACTGCAGGGACGGGAGAGGACCCTTCCCTCAGGGCCCCACGGTGTCTGCACAACCAGGTGCACATGTCAGTCCTCYAGCGAGCAGACCCCCGGGAAGAGGAACGCTTACCTGGAGAAAGAGAAGCTGCTTTTAAACACAGGAGGAAGAACCGAGCGGGGGCTGAGATTGTAAAAGGCAAAATATGTGTTTTCCTCGTTTTCAGAGGAGGAAATCAAGACTGTATTTGTTCCCTGGAGTTTATCCTTAGAGTGRTACAAGTTGTTGATAGATAGTATTTAAGATGACAGGGATCCTCTCAGTATGAAAAGAACGTAGGATTTTAAAAAACAAGAAAACATATAAAAACATGTACAACAATGACTGTAATAAGGAAAACACAATGAGGCAAGAAATGTAAATAGGGTAAACTTACTCGGCAAAAGGAAGGGACTCCCACCTTGTGAAATCAGAATCTACCACAACATCTGCAAGACCCAGAGCCAGAACCTGAGCTGCAGTGGAGGTTCACAGAGTGAACAAATGAAGTTGCTGCCAATCAGGGCACAGAGGGGCTTCTTTCTTCTGGGTCCTTAATTGATCTATTCATTATTATTTTTAGTGGACAAAGTCAGGGAGTACTTTTGTTTAAACTACATCACAAATTTAGAGTGAATTTTCTAGTTGTTATTCAAGACAATAAAATTTTCACTTATCTCAAAAAAAMCCCCAAATGAACAGCATGATTTCATAATTAATATCTAATTAAGTAAAAATCCAAGGTCTCAAAAGGTGAGTTTTGTTTATATAGCTTTCAGTGAATAATTTGACTTCAACATCAAATCAGCAAAGACCGGACTTGGTATTGGCAGAACTAGGCATAATTGAGGGAATAACAGCCAACTTTGAGACACATCTGACACTACGTCTCTCAGGTCAGAGTAGATAAAGATGTAATATCAATAATACTACTTACAAGGCTGGTTTGAAGGCTACTAAACTCAGTACCCTCAAAAAAACACCTTCTTTATGATGGGAGAAAAAAATTCAGTGCCTCAAAACAGTTCAGCGTGTCTTTAAGTGGAGATCAGAACTCCCGGTCTTCTCCCACACAGGGGCGTGGCAGCTGAAGCCAGCTCAGGCCAGAGACCGCAGGCTCCCAGCCACACAGAAGGGGGGCACCCCTCCCCGCAGAGCGGCAGGCAGACCCCGAGAACTGCATGCAGCACCGTGACGGGCCCCACGGTGCGATCTCCACTCCCCATGCTTCATGGCTTAGCCAGAAAGAAGGAGGCTTTTGGAGTTCCCCTCCGAAAGCCAGAAAAACCTCAAGGCAAATGTGAGGAAAGCAGAAGGGAAAATAAAATCCACTTTCATGACTTAGGGAAAGCAATGAGCCGCGGGGCAGCAGCGATGGGCTGGTGGGGAGGACACGGAGATGGACGCCTCGCCAGCTGAGTGGACAGTGCAGCAAAGCCCAGATTCAGTGGAGAAGACACTGCAGGTGGACAGGTCAGGGTACAGGACTGGCCACGGGTTAGCACCGAGGTCCCAACAGTGGTCCTCCTAGAGCCACTCAGTGGGGACACGAAGTGACACTGGGGAAGGAGGGCCTCCGGGCAGCAGGAGACTGCCCACGTGAGCAGTCAGGACAGGAGTCAGCAGCTCAGGTAGGGGACACTTTCTGAGGAAACTGACACCAGGGACTCCGCAGGTCATGAGGTGACGAGAACTGCTCCAGGGGCTCCAGAGAGGGCAGACAGCCCGAGGCTTCCCCGGTCGGCGGGACGGCCCTCGGTGCTGGGGTCCTAACACAGAGCCTCCCCAGGATCACAGGGGAAGTGCACACAGGTGACCATACATGTCACCCTGGCCACGAGACTCAAGAGCCCAGCCCAGCTCTATGGCATCTTCAGAGAACTCAGGCCTCCCGCACCTCGGGGCCAGGGCACCTCGGGGCTGGCCCACTTCCCACAATGACACCCAAAGCCTCCATTAAAAACGACCCCTTTTTATAAAACACTTGTCACCCCCAAGGAAGTGGGTGGCGATCTTTCAGGGAACGCGGTCTTCCGTGTCCCCCATCAGCCCTCGGCATCTCCGTAGCTAAGTGCCAGAATCACCCGTCCCTCCAGGGTCAGGTGTGGGGGCTAAGTGACCTGCCCCTGTGGGCTGCCCACCACAGAGAGGCACAAAGAGGTGGACAGGTGGTCCTCATTTCCATAGGGTGTGGCCATTAACCTAGAAAACCCACAGCGTGTCCTGACTGAGGGGCTCTGAACAGACGTAATGAAAACGAAGTCTCATGCAGCGACCAGCAGTCAGGACCCTCCTGCAGGAAAGCAGAGAGTCATGGAGACTGGACCCCAGCCCCGCAGGCCCCACTCCCTCCTGACTGAAGCTCCTGAGTTAATTTTTCTTGAAACAAGACAAAGTAATTGTCACGATCATCTAGAAGCAGGGCGATGGGAACAAGACGACTCAGGAGAAAGAACAGGAGGTTTGCAGAGAAGACTTGCCAGTCGGGGTCAGAGAGAGAAAATACTACAAACAAAACGTGATTTTAATGGGGTAAACATTTAAGATGAGAACACCACCATCAAGAGCCCCCAACACTCCCCAGGACATGCCCAGAAGTGGACGGGGGTGTCCGTGAGGCTTCTGCCTCCCTGGGGTTGGGTGCAGCAGGGGCCACGTGCTGGTGGACAGAGAGGAAGGGCAGGGGCCAGGCCTGGGCCAGCTCTACATGCAGAGGCCTCTGGGAGAGCCATGGCAGCCAGGCCCCCAGGAGGCCGTCAGATGCCACAGTGGACAGGGGTCAGCATTTACCCACC